ATATATATATATATATATAATCTCAATATAAATGGGTAAGCCATATTAGTCCAGTAGACAATATGTCAAAAACGCAGTATGCAATGATACCTTTCTTATTGGACTAACAAAATATATAAAAGACAAGCTTTCGAGAGTGAACCTCTCTTCTTCAGGTCAGAAGCAATACACATAATTATATATACATACACACAAATACATGTCCAACATGACTGTGCACCAGTGCACAAAGCAAGGTCCATAAAGACATACATGAGCGAGTTTGGGTTGGAGGAACTTAACTGGCCTGCACAGAGTCCTGACCTCAACCCGATAGAACACCTTTGGGATGAATTACTTAGAGCGGAGACTGCGAGCCAGGCCTTCTCTCCAACATCAGTACCTGACCTCACAAATGCGCTTCTGGAAGAATGGTCAAACATTCCCATAGACACACTCCTAAACCTTGTGGACGCCTTCCCAGAAGAGTTGAAGCGGTTATAGCTGCAACGGGTGGGCCAACTCAATATTGAACCCTACGGACTAAGACTGGGATGCCATTAAAGTTCATGTGTGTGTAAAGGCAGGCGTCCAAATACGTTTGGCAATTGTGTGTGTGTTACACACAGAGTTGCATTAATTTGTGTCCTTTATATCTGCCAGGAGTTCATCTTTAGGAAGCATGGACAAAAACTTCTTTCAACTGTATATTTTGAAAGCCAAAAATAAATAAAACACACACAAAACAAAAACAAAAAAAACCCCACACAACTAAAACTGTGCAACTTAATGTTTATTTCTGGGGGGAAAAAAAACCTAAAAACAAAAAACTGACAACATGACACTTTCAAGTTGTACAAAGTATGTTCATAGAATTTTCTTGTGCGTTTCAGAATTTCATTAAAAAAAAAATAATAATACAAACAAACCCTGTATCAACTTAACTTCATCAGTTATTATATAGTACTGTACAAACACTCACTAAAAACATATCCCTTAATAAATAGCGGGACAAACAGAAAATATAACAGGTAGATTGCGAGTCTGAAAAAATCCTTAGACATAAAAGTATCAATGGCAGCAGACTTGTTAACATTACTTCTCATGATGTTAAATACTAGGCCCAGTTAAAATTAAATTTTTCAGCTTTGTGCCAGGTACCAGTGGGAAGGACCACCTGCCGGTTTCTGGTATCTCAGGTTCCAGTGCTAATATTCTTGCTCAGTGTCACTTTCACAGGCAGACTTCCGAGTTATTTGTCTATTTAATATTTTTGAGAATCCACAGAAAAAGTATGCACCATAATTTATCTTTGTAAAGGGCATAGTAGATGGGATGGAAAAATAGAAATTCTGGTGGCGATATCTCTCTACTGGAATCCCCAAAGAAAAGAAGCCAGCTTGTCACTCAAATTTGTCAGCAACTGCAAGAAACTGAAATATGAATTCTGAAGTTGACCTTTAAGATTTACAAAATCCATACTATGGCCCAAAGTGGTAGCATATCTATTACAAATATTAAGCAAGCATAGAGTCAGGCAGCTGTGCCAGAATTCTAGAATGGAGTGATCTTACTTCCAGGAGTATAATTACTTTAAAAATAGAACTATTATGAGAAAAAAAAATGCAAACTGTGAAACTAAATACAAGCTCTTCAGCTTTGCTACAGCAGTCATACTGACCAGAAAAAAAATAACATTAGTAATTTCATATCTTCAATTGCAGTAGCAATTAAAAAGGTAGCTGAAGTGATGTCACTACTACCCAGAGTACTGATAGTTGAAGCTCAGTTGAAGTTTCTTATTGGCTAGAAATCATAAATGCACAGCGAAGCGGTACCTATCAAAAGTCTTACTGTTTTAATGTCTCTAAACGATCCCACTAAAAGTACAAACTCTTCCTCTTACATCATTAAGCTCCAGAGAAAGACCCTTGCCCTCTGTTTTGAACCAGTGGACTCTCTGCCATGGTCCAACATGTGGCCTTTTGTGCAATCAACAATGTTCAAGCTTCCTGCTAATTGGAGATCTCTAGCTCTAAGCAGTGGGTGTGTCAAATCACTGTAAAGAATCTGCTGGTTCCACACACAGCAAAAGGTCCTTCTCTGAAATCTACTGGAAGAGGAAGAAGAGTTTGCACTCACACTGGTGATCAATTAGTGAGACATAACAGTAAGACATTTGACATTTACCTTTTGACTGCAGATTGAATAAATATAGCTATTATAGTAAGAAATTTAAATTGGACCTTAAGAAATGTATCAGAAGCCATCAGGACTGAAGTAAATTGTGGCTTATATACAAGCAGATCCGAGCATACTCTTAAGATGTCAATTTGATTGGTGCTTGCGGGGTTATAGTTCCAACTCTGGACAAACATACATAAACTTAGTAGTGGGAAACCTGCTCCATTTTAGGGGCCTCATATGTGCTTATCCACACAAAGCTGCACATTGCAACCTCATCTTTTATCTGTCAGGGGCAAATCAATGAATTGTAAAGTAAATGGGACACCGTAAAGCATAGTTAACGCACATCCCAAGAGGAAACTTATTACCCCACTTATTAATTAGGTAAAATGTTTGTGACTGAAGTTCAGCTTTAATAAAAGACATGAAAAAGAAAATATACAGAAGTCCATAGCAGCCAAATAACTAATCAGTGACCTAACCCCAGTTAAATGGGTAATGTGTTAAGGGTAAATTTCACTAGAACGGCTCAAATTCTAGTTTATAGATGGAAAGCATGGAAATCATACGCTGGCTTATTCGATCTCTAAGGAATTCAAGCTGCAAGATATTACCACCAGAATTGGCAGCTCTGGCCAAGTATCATAGCCATTAAAAAGACAAACTATGGCATCATGCTCTACTGATGTACTGTCCATAATGCACAGAAATCAAATAGATAGCCTTGAGCTGCAAGAACAAATTTTGTTAAGAGTTTTCTATATCAAATCGACGAGATTGGAACAAAAAGCCCAGTACAATAACCGCTATAGAGGTAGAGCAGTGCATTGCCCGTATTTATGACCGCAGACTGTAAGAAGACATAGTTTATTAAAAGACAAATAAATGGCATGAAAAACATTTTGGAGATGCCAGGATGTATGTGTTCGGTTTCATTAATGGCTCCAGTGATACAAGAAAGAAATTGCATGAAAGAACATTTTTGTTCACAAAACAAATTAAACCTTTATTAGGTCAAATCAAGTTAAGGACAACTGAAAAAGCCTGAGAGCCTGAAAAAAAAAAGTGCTTTGCAATGCAACATTTATGATGGAAAACCTATTTGTAGGTTAAAAGCAAGCCGTAGCCTTTTGTATCAAATGCTGAAGCTTTCTCCACAGCCGCAAGTTCCTTTAATGTTGGGGTTATTAAAAATAAACTCGCTGGTGAGTTTATCTTCTACATAGTCCATTTCTGTTCCTAAAAGAGTTAGCTGTGCTTTCTTCTCTATGAACACTCTCACTCCTGTGAAGGAAAAAAAAAAAGGTCTAGTTACAAAAGCTGGATCATTTCTGAATGTAAAGTAGCACTATGATAAAGACAATTTTTATACTGACCTTTAAAGCAAAAACACAGTTTAAAAACCCAAGATGAACCTGTGAGAACAGACGTATAGGAGCTGCCATTTATGGATTGATTCTACAGGTGCAGGCTCTTACGTCTGTTATCTTGATCTGAGCTAAAACTACCTAGTCACTGAAATAAGCATGCTGTCAGTAAAGTTTTAGACTACCACCTGGCCTGCTTGTTTCAGGTCAGTTACGAACTAGATAGGTTAGTCTACATCAGGATAACTTTAACCACTTGCCGGCCAGCCGATTGGAATGAAATGGCCCAACGGCTGACTCATAACTGCGGGTGGGCGTTTTTAAACTTTGATAAGTTTGATGTATAAAAAAAGTGTTTGTACATACAAACATTCATAGAGCAGTAGAGCCGCCCGACTGCTTGTATGGTGCGGGAAGTGTAGCCCCCTCCCGGCAAGGCAGCTCTCTGTACCTCGATCGGAGGGAGAGCACCACACTTCCACCTGCTGATCTCCCCTTTGATCACCGAATGTGGAAGTGATGTGAAATACATGACTTTCACTCTCAGCCCGTCATTTTTCCAGCTGGTGTAGCCAGAGAAGAAGCAGATCTCTGCTTCCATCAACTTTTTGGGGGTCCCTAGGTGACATTAGGGGTCTAATAGACAGCTGATGCCTCCATAAAGAGGACATGTCACTTTATATAGGCTTGTTAGCCCCCCATGTACTAACAATAAAGTGTATAATAAAAAAGCAAGGTTTTTAAAGTCCTATATAAAAGAAAATGTAAAAACTTTTAAAGTCCCCCGCCCCCACATACATACAAAGTTGGGTGTGCCTACATGTGAAAACTACAATTACACCACAAGTTACATATCACTGTGAACGTCACAATTTGGGCAATAACTCTAGGGCATCAATCACTGCTAACACTAAATTGATGAATAGTAAAAAGCTTTTAAAGCACCGTCTATGGGCAATTTTGGGTATGGTAGTTTTTGTGATTTCGCAGGTGCATGCAATTTTAAGGCTTGACATGTTTGGTGTCCATTTATCTAACGTGACCCAGTCTTATATATATATCCCAAAAATTGGGCAATAATTAGGATGCACCGATAGTTTTTTCGGTATCGAGTACCGATATTTAATGTCTATTTACCCGACGTGACCCCATCTTTTATATTTTACCAAAACAATTGGGAAATAATAAAATGTTTTATAACATAACGTAGGGAAAATTGTGTTTTTGTTCTGCAACATTTTCAGTCCTTTTTTAAATTATATAGTAAAAAAATTAAAACCCCAGTGGTGATTAAAATACCACCAAAAGAAAGCTCTATCTGTCCCCAAAAAAGTGGTATAAAATTAATTTCAGTACAGCATTGCATGACAGAATAAATGTCAAAGTACCGCAGTGCTGAATACTGAAAATTGGCCTGGGCAAGAAGGGGGTTTACCACCCCGGTCAGCAAGTGGTTAAGATGAAGGGAAAAAATTAATAATTCCATGCCTGTCCAGAACCCATGGTAAAAATGGAAATCTGTTAGATGTAGGTCAATACTTGAACATTATGCCAAACCCTGATTGTGGGTTGTGAACTACAAATGAGAAGCAGAAAAGGACTGAAGGAAGAATGAGGATGGAGATCTCATCAATTACACAATCTCAGAAGGATAAAGTGGTATGGTACTATCTATACTCAAACCATGGAAAAGGAATTCTTATTTAGTATAACAGAAAAGGTCAGTATCTAGGATTTGAGAGGATGTTTTAGGCATTCCATGATAGGGAAGCTAAAAGAGGTGTACTAGTATAGAGGTAAAGGTAAGTGCTGCAGCAGAGTCCGGAGTAAGAAAAAGGTTAGGATACCCCAAAGCAGGCACCAGGCAACATGGGAGGACATAACCCCAATAATCTTAAGAGTCTAAATAATTAGAAATGAGTACAAAAAAATTCTAAAGAATAAGAAAAGGCTATTGGGCCAGAAGTCTGGCAACATGCTCCAGTATAGTAGCTACAGTATGAGCCTGAGCATTGAAACCGAAAGAGAAAAACCAAAAGATCCAACAGAACAAAGAAACAATAACCCACAGGAAAAGTGAGAGAATACCATAAACAGAAGGTTTATAACTACGAGATCTGTGTTTCACATCGAAGAAAAATCTCGTATGAGATAGATATCACAGATTTCATGTTCCAGGCACGGACCTGCACATAGTGTCCTATCCATATAGACAGACATTACTGCCATGCAACACACCAGCTTAGATGCCTGCAAAAGGCCATCATAACTAAAGTGGGGAGTGGTAGTGAACTGTTCGAAAACACCTCAAGGCCCTAAGTTTAAGATCTTCGTTAGAAGAGTCCCTTTTAAAAAGACATGATCCATTAAGACTTTGTATCACAGACTTGGGGTGTGGAAAGCGGTAACCCAGAATTGCAGTCTATGCCTGTATCAACTGATCCCCTCTATTTGTTTTGTAATCACTGAATCTTCTGACGCTTAAGAGGATCCTGCAGTGGACAGCCAATATAAAGTGCCCATGTCACCCAGGCAGCAATGTGGAGACCCAAAGAAGGACTTTACTTCTTTGCTTGAGAAGTTAGAAGACTTGGGACCCAGTGCATCACTTGACCACATATTTAGGTAAAAAGGAGCTTTTAACCGAAGATTTTTTTGGCCGGCATCCCTCGATCAGCTGATTGAAGGAACTGGTTGGACTGGCAGCCGATAAACTGTCTGCTCTGTTCGGGTATTCCGACAGTCAGAATACAGTGAAGACAGTGGGAGATTCCTCAATCGATGCTTGTAAGCACTGGTGGAGGAATCTATTCTAATTTTTTTGGTGCAGTCGGCAGGTTGAAAGCAAAAAAATAAGTGTATGGCCAGCTTGACAATTGTCGGTAATTGGACTGATTCTTATGAGCGATAAAGCATAAACCCTAAAAACAAGAACACACATTATAGATTACATCATGCTTATATTATAGGAAGCCTCATTAAAAAGGAGAACTATGGGGTCAGTGTTTTTCCCCATAGTTCTCCTTGAGGTAACGGGAGGACACAAACTAGCGTCCTCACCGTTACCCTAAGCTCAGTATAAGTGTCACATGCTTTCTTAAAACTAAAATAGGTGTTCAATATGGAAGCAGTTTATGGTAATTGTATGAAAACAAAACATGACACATAAAGAACACCGATCCTGAGAGCTGGCTGAATCCTTGCATGTAATTAGGAAGCATCTGTAAAAGAGTAGCATATGCTTGGATTTTACAGAAGAGGGTCTTCACAAAGCTGAGCTCAGCTGTGATAACAGCTACACTATCTGTGTAATCCAGTTAAAGAATGAGACTGTACTTGAAAATACAGCCAAATCCACACACTTGGGAAAACCAATATAAGCCGACTGACATTTAGTAATATTTTTTACAATTTGGTCGTGGGTAAAAACAATACGTCAATAATGTCACTTCCAAATAAGTAAACTTACCATCTTGCGTGACTTCTTCATCTGATGTCCCCTTGGACTTTGCATATTCTAAGTAATAAGATAAGCCATTGCAGCCCCTTGTACGAACTCCTACTTTCAAGCCAATCTGTTATAATAAACAGGAGCACAAAAAGTTAGAAACCAGTTAAGTTTTTCTTACTGCAGACAAAACAGATTCAGAACCCTTTGATAATCAGAGGTCCAGAAGACTGGGTAACAATAACCTCATATTTCTGATTTCACACCCCAACAAAAATAAAGACACATATTATTTCATATCTACCTACATCTATCCATCGCACACCCTCTCTCCTTTTTTTTTTTAAACACTGCATTGCCTTTAAGAAAAGTATTTCTATTTGTGCAGTGAGCGCACACAGACAGAAATACTATATTTAAAGAAAGTGCACGCAGGAAGAAATTGAATAGAAAATGGTAATAAGCTTGATCAGAAACTACACTTATTCACAGAGCAGAGCATTAAGTGTAGATTAATCTATACCAGACTATGTATTTCTACAAAAATCTTTCCATAAGATTATGTCCATTTAATGTATTTTAGGCATGTTATCTACATGTAAAAGTCTTCCAGTGTAAAATGTCAAAAACCCTGAGATTTCTGCTGGGTGCCACCATCGTCTATGATGTCAGCAGCTCCAGACTCAGAGCTGTCACTTAAGTGATATTCTATAGTATTTCCCCTAACTATCTCTCTCCTTCAGTTACATAGGAAGGTTAGGGGAGGAGGAGCTGGACCAGCAGAAACCAATTAGACACTCCCAGATGAGGAGAATGATATGATGTACAAGGAGGGAGGGGGCTGTGCTAGGGAACTGACTCTTTGTGGAAAAGTCACATTTTCTAGCAGGTTCAGACCCACATTGCAAGTAAATACACTATGATTTATGGAAAAATGGAAGGGAAAACTATAACTAATATATATATAT